CTATACAAGCAGTGTAAATGTGTGTCTTCACATTTCAACAGAGCTGAAGAGCTACTCAAGCAGATACAAGACACAAAATTCAGCTGATCAAGATGCAGATGATCAGCTCTCCAGGCTCCATTGGCTATTGATCCAATCTCCATGGACCAAGCAGAAAATTCAATTTATGTACATCTGTAAGCTGAGTCCCAACTACTGCCTAGTGGTCTGTAACTTAATTTCTGTGTATTATATACACATCCTTTGCTCTTTCATTTTGTATTAGCAGACAACAGCCTAACACAATCCCCCATTTAAGTGTTTACAAGTCAAGAAGAATGTCTCCAACATCTTTTCTCTCCCCTCCAGGTTATTTGTACACACAGACAAGATCTCTCTAAACTGTCTCTTCTCCAGGATGAACAGTCCCAGCTCTCACACTCTCCTTGTTTGACAGATGCTCCAAATCCCTTCATCATCTTCAAAGCCCTTCACTGCACTCACTCCAATGTGTCCATAAGTTTTTTTGGACAGGGGAGCCCAGTGCTGGACCCAGCAGCCCAGGTGTGTCCTCACCAGTGCTGAGCAGAGGAGGATCATTGCCCCCTGACCTGCTGGCAATGCTCTGAGGGCTGCCCAGGATGTCACTGGCCTTCTGTACTAAGGGCATTGCTGTCTCATGTCCAACTTGTTGCTCACCCAGTGCCCCCAGATCCTTTTCTATAAAGCTGTTTTTCCAGCTGTTTTCCACATCCCAGATGGTGCAAGGGGTTATTCCTGCAGCAGAAGGTGAAGGATTTGGCATTTCCCTCTGTTGGACTCTGTAAGATTTCTGTTGATGCCCATTGTTCCAGCCTCGTGGAGGTCACCAACTCTACAACATCTAATACAACGAATCTTTGACAAACCATGGCCAGAAATATGGTAGACAATCAGCAATGCATCCTCTTACAGTTAAAGAGCAACCCTCAACAGAAATTACAACTTGAAGTTACAGGAAAAGGGGATTGCACACCTTATTTCAGGCAATTCTACATAATTTGATGCAGAAACAAAGTAGTGACTTTTCACACCAAACCGATGCTAATGTCTGCTGCATCCTTGGCTGTCAGAACCACTGAGACAGCAGCACCTGCTGAGGCTGAACAGTGAAGCACGAGGTGTGCTGCCTGCATGAGGTGTGTTGTATTTCCTTGCCTTCCCATTCCAGAACTCCTCTGTGTCAGAACTAAAAAGAGTTCCACAGAGCATATCTTGCCTTTTTTTTTTAATTTTCAAGCTCAATGTACATTAAACCTGGCAGATAACTTCCATGTGTCCAACCCAGTGTGGCTGCCTTCGGATGTCCAAGGCTGGGATGAAAGCATGGATCAGCACTCAGCATGGCAGCCAGTGTGGCTGAGTTTCCATCTCCATGGGAATCACCAGTTCAAATGAAAAGTAAAACAAAAAGGTTTATCTGAAACAGACTTTGCTACCAAGGAGGCATTTGTTTGGCAGTTCAAGCAGTAAAATCCACTAAGAAATCACTCTAGCAAATCTGTCACTTCAGTGTCCACTGTCTGAATCAACAAGTCTCTCCAACACTTATTGTCACAGCTTCAATGCAGGAATCCTCCCTCAGCACCAGCATGAGTCATCCCAGAGGAGATGGACACACTGCCAGTATGCAGGAATGACACAGACTCCAGCAAACACAGAAATGGAGAAAATATCACACAAATGCCACAAACCCAGCAACAACTGTAAATATTAAAAGATAGAGCATACCTTTTGAAATTTATTGTATACTTTATAGTTTTGAACACATACCGAGATAATCCTCGCCTGAGTACCAAATTTGCTTTACTGAGTGGGACAAAACATAAAACTCCAGCAAACTGAAATGTTCAAAATGCTGAGTCTATTGTATTTCTCAAAACAGGTGCAAGTCTTAGGAGCAAGGAGCTGCCATCTACCACAAGCAATGCAGCTCCCAAGAATAGAAAGCAATGAATCATTAGAAATGAAAAGGAGAATATAACGAGAAGGAAAATGACTTATAAATTTTACACATCCAATTTCTAAAGGAGAACAAGATCCTTGAGTAAGAAACTGCGTAGGTCAGGCCAGGCACAGACACCATGGATCCCAAGAAGCTTAATTTGGGAAAAAGGCCTTTTCCCCACAGTGCCTATTTAACTGCCCACCTTTGTTCCCATCACAAAATGCATCCTGCTGCCCTCTTGCAGGAGAGGCACCAGCTGCCCCCACCCCAAACAGGGCTGGCTTGTGGGGGCTGTGAGCCACTGCCATGGAGAGCTGGCTCTGGTCCATGCTGACACCCTAAACCTGAGCTAAGTACACTGCACTGGAGACAAAAGAGCAAAAGCGACAAGGCTTTCTTGTGTGAGCCACAACCTCTGAACTGTGGGTTCCTGGAAAACACCCCAGCTTTGGAGATGACAGCCTGGACCTGCTGCATCTCACTCACTCCTCTACCTGGGCCAACATCCCAAGCTGCATGGAGAGTGTGCATTGACTTTGTTTCGAGAGACATTAGACACATTTCATTGTGTATCAGTAATCACCCATACAGATTTCTTAGATCAGTCCAGCTTTAGCATGTTTTACAAAACTAAATTCTTCCGTTTATCCCTCCTTCCTCAGAGCACCCTTAGCCACGGTAGATTTAGTGCTCTGCAGATGCTGCCTGCTTTCAGGAAATGGGATGTGAAGCCATCAGGATGGCTGCAGGATGGCTTCCACACCCTGCGTGCATAACATAGGCACACAGAACAATTTGCTTGTCAAACTGATGAGAATGTAGAGAAATTAGGGAGTGATTTTGTCTTCTGACTCCCTTCCCCAGCATGCACCCACCCCTTTTGCCCTCCATTTTGCAACAGTCAACTGCTTCCAAACCAGTTGTGACAAGGTGAACAAAAACCTTTAGCAGTCTATCGTAAGAGAAATTTAAGATTTAGCACAATTACAGCTTGTACATAATAATCAACACTTGAGCAGAAATTGGACCCTTTCTCCACTCCACTGTGAGAAAATGCTCAAAAATGACCAAGCTTGATGACTGGAGCCACATACACTGGAGGAAGCAAGGCAACATTTAAGCCAAGATTTCTGCCTTCCCTTTGTCATATGCCAATTGTACCGACACTCAGTTTACTTTGGCTAATTGTAATACAATGTTCCTGCCAGGACCATCACCATGCCACTCTTCTCTGGCCATCAGCCGTATTCCTGTTCCTCCACTGTACTGCTGGTGTAAAAGCTGCTGACCTATTCCAAGGCCTCATTCTTGGGTACTTTTCAGAGCAGCCAGTGTGCAGATGTGAGGGAGCACACAGGCAGGATGGATGGCACAGCTGAGGCCAGCAGCTTCTTTGCAGCATTTCTGTGCTCGTTTGGCACAACAGTTCAGGAACTGTATTACATGTGCCACTTTCATAGGAAATAAATTTCTACCTGATCAGTTTACATTGGGCACTGAAATATATCCCAAGATGTATAGCCATGATGAGTGGAGGCTGCAGTAACTGAGCTACCATAACCAGATGGCACCAGGCTGTTACAGAGCTTCTTCTCTCAAAAGCAGAGATGAAGTGCATAATGTTGCTTTCATCTATACACCAGCAAAATTTGAAATTCAATCACTTTCCTGACTTAAATGGTTGCAGTCATAAAAGCTCAGAACAGGTTTTAATGTAAAGGTTTGTGAAGTAAAAGCATATTAGAAAACGTAAAACTTTGTGAACTCTTATTTTCTAAAGAAACCTTAGGATGAAAGCGTAATGAATCAGTTTCTGTGATAATAAGTAACTTTTGAATGCTCAAATGGCATGTAATTTTTTACATTCACTCTTTCTCATCATGCTCAAGAGGACACAAAACCATGTGTTTAGCATGAACATTGCTGCAGCCATTACTGAACATCACTTTTTATTGAGGAAAATCAGCATAAAGGGGACACTGCCTGCCCAGTTTTGTTGGGCAAACAAACAGATCCCAAATTTCTGTCAGAGCTGGGGTGGTCCTCCAGAGCCACTTTAGAATTATGGCAACATTGCTAACAAACTTCCATGCATTTTTACACATTAAGTGGTAGAAAACTTTGTCCCAAGAGCAGAACAGGATACTCCATGCTTAAGTGAAAATTGGTTGCCTTCAACTACTTGTAGCCCAGGTCATCACCAATGCCCAATGGTTAAGTAAATTTTCCAGCCTGGAGATGCTCACAGTGCCCAGTGTAGGTTGGTATTCCTGTGTTGACTTACTTTGCTGAGCAGACAGTAGTGAGGAAATAGGAGCAGTCTAATCTGTCCAGGAGCTTACAGAACAAACCACCAGCCTGGGGAATAATACTTCAGTACTTGCCAAGATGCATATAAACCACAGAAATTAGTATTTCCATGCTTACATCCATTGTTATACTTGGTCAGATATAGCTGCATTAGAGAAAAACCTCAACAAAATAAAACCAAAAAAAGGGGGTGGTGAGGTGTGTTTGAATTATTTCTAAAATGTTCTTCTATGTAGACAGATAATATCCCAGAAGCTCTTCTCTCCTAGATGTAAGACCTTCTTTGAGAACTTCCAAAAACAGCTGAAGCCAAAAATAATCCCAGGACATCTCGAGATTCAAGTGCCATGCAACTGAAGCACCAATCCAAACATTAAAATCCATATTCAGGACAAAGCCAATACCTTATCTAATAAATTGATGCAACCAGCAATGAACAGAACCTTCAGTAAACAACACATCAGCTTTTGTGTTTGCTTTAAAAAAGTTAACCAGTCATAGTTACCTCATAGAGAAAGACATTGCAGCCTTCAGAGCTAGGTCACAGGGGTTCTTGCTGCTGATACAGAGCCTTAGGTGATGGTTACAAGAGCTGTGTTGAACAGGAGAGTAAAAGGTATTTTTTTCCCAAAATTAGAAATATACAATTTCCAAAAATGGGAGCAAAAGACAAAAGGTAATGAAAAATACTGCTGAATAAATGTTTAATTAAAAAAATCAGGAATTCAACAGTGCCTAAATCTTTATTTTTCATAACCTACATATTTTTTTCAAATTAGACAGTTTTACATTTTATGACACAAAAGGAAACTTAAATTACTGATAGTTTACATGTAAGCTTGATTCCAGTCTTAATGGAAGAAGAACAAAAACAAAAACCCTCAAAAAGGCTCCCATATTACACTTCTACTTCGTGAATTGGCAGCTGTTAGGTCTCCTTAGAAATCTCGGATTGTCTGCTGCTATTAGTGTAATAGGTTACGAAGCACAAAACCCCTACCTGTAGCTGAAGGAGATACAGAGATAGGTGTGCACCATTACAGTCAGCTGTTGCTCCTGATACACTGCACCACTCTCCAACAAGGGCCTTTCCATGCCAACAGCTCAAGGTTTTAAAGGATAATGCAGCAACATCAAAAATTTGCCACTGCTCGCACATTTCTAAGTGACAGTGTCAAGGGCGGAGGGGGGGACTGATCTGAAATTACATTCAGTTTTGAAAGCAACCTTTTTTTGTTAAATTCCTGGAACAATCTCAGACCCCATTTTGACTTGTTTTCAAAATGAAAAGCATCACTACACAGTTCTAACAGGGTAAAATGCCAATTTTAATTACTGTATCCCTGAACCTTGAGCTCAGCTACTGCTTTTGGGAGGTTTTTCATTTTAAAAGCCATGTTTTAATTCCTCTCTGTATCGTAGCAACAGTCTGCATGCAACTTCACAACTCTACTCCGAAAACTCCATTTTGTCACTGAGTGGGGGGGGAAGAAATCTCAAAGCAAAATACAGTAAGGAGAAGTTGTATTGTATATTACACAGCGATTTGGCGTGTCACTTTTTAAAATTAAAAAAAAAAGCTATAAAACCACATCAGAGGAAGGTTTAAACTTTAGATGCAACAGACTGTTGCTGGGTAAGCAGTAATTACAGTGTATTGACCTATCACAAATGGCAGCAGAATACATTAGAACAGCACAACACATCCCACTGGTCTCAACAGATCACCTCGGGTACCGGCTGAGCACCAGGACGAGCCGCTCGCAGCCGCTGGAAGGGACCACTTGCCACTGTTTGCAGCTGGTAAAGCCTTTCACTTGCAGCAGACAAACAAAATGAATCATACAGCTGGCCTAAACCATACACAAATCTAGCTACCGCTTTCACTGCTGCTGGGGAAAGGAGAAGGGGATACAAAAATCCAATGACAGAAGTAGTTGAGCAGTTTTGGTGATGGTGTCGGGGTCCTATCTCCTCCCACAGCATTCACAAAGTGCGCTTTTTAAACAAGAAAAAAGTCAACAGACTCCACATGCCCTATTTTGACCAATTCTGCAGCATACAACAGGCTGGATTTACAATGCCAACTAGTTACCAATTGATGCTTGTAATAGGAAATTTATCAGGAGTCAATTTCTACAGTTACTTTACAGTTCTATGAACCATGCATTGATACTCTTGAAAGCAGACAAGTAAGCTTCAGTGTATATTTTTGCAGCAGTCAAGTTTTTCCCCAATTAGACTTGATTTTTATTAATGACTTAAAAATTACAGTTTGACTGCTGACATTCATTATTTACATTGCAGAACACTTTTGAATTGGTTAAACTGTTTGGTTTTAAAGGGACTTCAGGAAAACATTTGAGGGCTTTCAAATAAGACTTTCGTTCCATTTCCCTTTTGCAGTGAAGAGGCAGAGTCAGTTCAACACACCAGAATAAAATAAGAAAAAGAAAAAACAACAAATTAAAGTAATATTCAAACCACAACATTTAGTTTATCTACATCCAGCTCAACAGCAACATTTATAATATCAATAATTTTTATCAGATTTTTTTCTTTAGGGTACCTTTTTATATGTTCTGATTATTTACAACTGTACAAGCAAAGCACACACTTCCAAGTGCACATATTTAATACAGTATTGACTATTTGCATTTACAGGTTTTTCAACAATCTGAAAAAGATCAACTGTTTAAGATCTTTAAGGTATATTACAAAAACTGCTGCTAGTTCCTGTACTACAGTATGTTTACCCAGTAAGACCAGTGACAATAGATACATACTGTAACTGAGTAATTCTGTATGCCATTCATGCTAACCCTCCACGGGGTCAGACCTCATTAACTCTAAACTGTCTTGTACAAAAGTTAAGGCAAAGTCATTTTCAAGTTTAAATAAAATTCAAGTCTTTAAATATTGGATGGAAATAATTCTTTAAAAAAATCAGTTGTTTAAATAAACATTTTTGTGGAATAAACTGTACTGTCATAGTCAGCAGGAATGAGTTTTGTCTGAACTTCCTGCAGTTTCAACACTTAAAGAAAAGCTTTAGGCATTTTAAAACAAAAATAATTTATATTCAACTTTATTAGAAACTTGCTAATTTAGTGCATCCTTGTCCTTCAGAAAGCGCATCACTTCTAAAGTAAATAAGTGTGAGAAACCTCATCCCAGAGGTAAATATCAGGGATCTCTTCCTCCACCACACAAAACAAACACCATTATCTCACGTCTTGAAAAATTTAAATCTGTATGCCAATGCTTGTAGTTACAGGAAGATGTCAACACAAGGCTGACTAAGATATGAACTCTTTCAAAGAGCACTTGGGGCAGAGTTTTAAAAAAAAGTCTACACAGAGCACAGGGGTAACCAGAATATACAGCGCTGACTCAGTTAACTCCCTTACAAGCACAGGGAAGCTAAGTTTATCACAAGAAGGCTACTCTGCTTTCTCCTGATAACATCCACTAACAGGCTTCACCACCATAGAAGCTCACAGACTTGATTCTTTCTATTCACAATGTGCTTTGTATTTGCAAATTATAACATCAGTTTTATTCTGGAGTGAGAAGATGGTTACTTGCTTGCAGTAAGTCAAAAAAGGAAATATTTCAGAAAGACTGCTATGGTGCCCTGTAGAATTAATTTTCAGTGTGCAAAACATCAAAAAAAAATTAAGTTTTTAAAAATGCTAGAAACAGCTACTCATTTAACCTAAAAGTGCAAGTTCATTTGCTGACACTTAGTACAGTAGCCCAATAAAAAAAAAATCTTCAAGGTCACATACTAATTTGTAAAATATATCTACTTTCTTGCACTCTACACACTAGCTGCCGTTATCAGTCTTTTGGACACTTTAGATATGTACTTGCGGACCAGTTTATTAAAAATATTGCAGCAGCATGTTTCTGCTTAACAGTTTAGAAAAAACTCACTATACAGAGCTTGCACTCACACAGCCACAGAGAGGCTTAATAAAAAGTTGGTTTTTTTAAAGACAAATATTTTACACCTTGGAAAAAAAAAAAAAAAAAAAATCACACTAAGCTTCACCTCCAATTAAGCACCAATCTAAATGTAAGGTTTAGAACAACTATCCAGAAATACCCAGAAAAATAGAATGTTTGTTCAAGAGGGGAAAAAGTATTTCACAGAAAAATAACTTGCAGGCATTGTTACATGCCTTGTATCACTGCAAGCTCCTAACCAGCAACTCATTCTCAGGTATCTTAGTGGGAACATGGGTTTAATTTGTGGGAAACAGACCTCTTCTCAAATCCCTCCCAGGTGTTATTTTCACTGAGGAGATTTTGGAGGGGTACTCTGTTCTTTATTTAAGCGTTTGCCAACGGCTGGAGGGGATGATCTGCGTCCTGACTGTCTCCTCTGGTCTTTGGGTTGTCCAGGATGTGACTTTGCAGGAGGAGGTTCTCTGTTTTTCTCTATTGTTTCTGTGGGCTTTCTTTCTTCTTTCCCACATGCTACAGTGTTTGGCTTCTGTTCTTTCTGGGGTTGCAATGTAGGAGGATCCTTAGTTGTTCTCTGGCAAATTTCCGCATAACTAGGTTTTCGCAGTTCCTGGGAAATCAGAAATAAACAGGAGAGAGTTAAACAAAGCATCTTGAGAGAAAAAAAATACTTTTATGAACAAAAAAGGATGAAGTCCTTGCCCCAAAAGTCTGCTGCACTTAAATATGCAGATGAGGGCTTGAGTATGAAGTTTACAGAAGCTGTATAGATAATAAAGCTGAAGAAAAGGTAATACGGTAAAATGTAAAACACTATGCCGGAAAAATGGGGTACTGGCATAGGGAAAAATACCTCCCTTTTAAACTCTAAACCAGCTGAAACACGATTAATACTCTGGTTTCAATATCAATATATGTATTAATACTTCTACCTCAAGGATACCACCAAGAAAAAGATTCAGATAAGGAGATTTCTTTTGCACTGTTAATTGCATAATTCTATCATGCAAGTAATCATGAAGCCCAATAAGCAAATTTGAAGCTGCTGGACAAATTCTAGGATGCTGAGCTCACATGATAAGGCAGCACTAGGAAGCAATAATTATTCTGTTAAATGCAAACTGGATCATTAAGCAAAAGTGAAGTAATAAAGTCACTTACTATGGCAGCCCCATTGACTTGTACCGATTTACATGCAGTACTCATTGTGGAAGAAGAAAGTCTTTCTGTACTCTGTGTCTCTCTCTGCTGTTTTTCCACAACTTTGGAGTCCCTGTAAGCATCCAGCAGGAAGCAAGGCTCATGAAAAGTGAAACTTCAGGATAGATGAATGGTTTAATAATAGGTCTAAAAAGTTTGAGTATGACTGCAAGTAGTTATGGCTATAATTTGCCTAGCACATGATGACTAGCACTGCATTCAAAAATGCTATAAAAAAAAGAAAAAATATATTCTTCTGCAATGTAACACCACCTGTACTTTGTCATGTTCTACTAGCATTTAGTTACTCAGCTGTTTGATTTGCAGGCTCCAAATAAAGTGTTACCAAAAACATTTTTTATGGTATGGACATTAGTACTGCCCACAGGGCCATGGGTTTACTCTCCATGTTTCAAAGCTATCTAAATATAAAACAGTAAGGTATTCATTAAACTTCTACTCACAGAAACTAAACCACGACACTAAATTCTCTTCTGCTAAATGGCTATTATGATTGAATCACTATTATGATATTGTTCAGAAATTAAGCTTTATTGCCTTTGCTACAAGTATAACAAAATATTACTTCTTTCATTGATTAAGATTTTAATAGCTATTTACATTGTTCTGTCTGATGAAAGAAAATGCAAATGTGATTCAGAGCAGAATAATTATACCCATGTAATTAAATGCTTACTCAGTAGGCTGGGGTGGCGAAGGAGACCTTTCAAAGGTCCTGGGCAATGTAGAAGAAACTGGTAACGGCTCTCGAGGAATTCCTGATGGAATAGTGTTTGTACTTGCATCCACATTAATGTTCTGAAGGAGGAAAAAAGGCACAGAAGGACAATCAAAATATCCAATTAATATGGTTTGCCTGAAAATTAGCACAACCAGGAAACAATTCAGTATGATTTATACTGGTAAATCGACTATAGGAAGGTACAGAAGGAGCCAATACATATATAGTAATGAATATGTTATTTTTTTCCTTTACATTTATTTAGAAACACAGACAAATAACACACTGTGGTTATTTCCAAATAAGTTATAAACTTCAGGTACCTTTGGAACATATCTGAATGACAAAATCACAAGATCATTAAGGTTAGAGAAGACCTTTAATCAATTGTCACCCTGTCAACTAGACCATAGCACTAAGTGCCACATCTGGTCATTCCTTGAACACTTCCTAGGGTGATGATTCCATCACTTCTCTGGGCGGCATGTTCCAACACTTAGCTTGCCTTTCAGTAAAAAACATTTTTCTTGACTTTCAACCTAAACCTCCCCTGGCACAGCTTGAGGCCATTTCCTCTCGTCCTGTCACTGGCTGCCTGGGAAAAGAGACCAACCCCACCTGGCTACAACCTCTGTGCAGGCAGCTGTAGGAGTGATAAGGTCTCCCCTGAGCCTCCTTTTCCCCAGGTTTATACAACCCCAGTTCCCTTAGCTGCTCCTCATGACTTGTGCTTCAAACCCTTCACCAGCTTTGCTGCTCTTCTATGGACATGCTCCAGCCCCTCAATGTCCTTCTTGTAGTGAGTGGCCCAGAACTGGACACAGGATTCCAGGTACAGCCTCACCAGTGTTGATCACAAAGGGACAATCACTGCCCTGGTCCTGCTGGCCACACTATTGCTGATCCAAGCCAGGATGTCACTGGCCTTCCTGGCTACCTGGACGCACCTGCCTCGTGTTCAGCTGCTGTTGACCAGCACCCCCAGGTCCTTTCCTGCAGGGCCACTTTCCAGCCATTCTGTCCCCAGCCTGTAGCACTGCCTGGGCTTGTTGTAACCCAAATGCAGGATCTGGCACTTGGCCTTATTGAACCTCACACAGTTGGCCTCAGCCCATCAACCCAGACTGTCCAGACCCCTCTGCAGACCTTTCCCTTCTTGCCCTCCGGCACCATCAACACTCCTGCCCAACTCAGTGCTGGCTGTGAACTTAGAGGGTGGTCCCAATCCCCTCATCCAGATGACCAATGAGGTTTTTAAACCAGGCCAGCCACAATACAGAGCCCTAGGGAATGCCACTAGTGACTGGACTTCTTTCCATATGGAAATTTTGCATGCTGGTGACAAATTAGGCTTTGACCTGTTCACATAACCACAGGCAGCCTATGAAGACAAAGTCTCTTAATGCTAAGCACTAAGAACTGTCTTCTTCAAAGCTCTACTTCTGCATCATCCTAATACAATGATTTGCTACCAAGCAAAAGGCTTTTTTCATAGCCCTCAAAAGGTTCTGTTAGTGCCAAGTGATACTGTGCTTCCAGATAAGTGCCAAATAGATTCAAGAGGCATACATTAATTTAAATTGCCACAAAATAAGAAAAGACAACTGTGTATCCTGGAAAACATATCTCACATTCATAACCATTTTGTTTGTTTTAAAGGGTGCTATGTTTCTCGTATTGCTTCTGACCTGTCTCATTCTAAAAACTCTAAACCCCAAAGAGACTTAAGTATGCAGAAGGGAAGCAATGGGAGAACACAAGCTCAGAAGGAACAAGATAACCCTCCTTTTCCCCCAGCCAAGCCACCATTCAAAAGGACATAAACCCTAAGACTCTTATGGTCACTGTTAAAAAGGAAAATGGTATTTGATGGTGCTGTTTTAAAATCAGGCAGCAAAGACTACTGCAGTAGATCTAAGCCTGGTTTGATTCAAAGTAAAAGACTGCAAAAGGTAGATGTTTAGAAATAACAGAACAGCTTTTATAGTTTTATTAACTGTAATAGTGTGTGCAAAGGCTTGAAATTGCAAGCTGCTGAGCATTCTGGCCCAAGTGTATCAGAACTTGTAGGTACATAGTTAAATGTGAATAACTTCAAGTCAAGCAGACGTGCTTTTCCTTGCCCTTGATCTGAAAGTGCTGCACTTCCTAGTTACAAAATGGGATGATTATTACCTGCCATTCCCCAGAGCTACATCTAGAAGAGCATCACTAAGCAAAGAGCATAAAGATACGATACTTGCATAACAACTGCTGGAAATTATAGACCTTTAATCCCCTCAGCTTCTGTACATTGGACTTGCCCATCTATATAAAACAAGGGAAACACTGTGTAACTCCATGTACCACCACATCAAGTGACATGGAAAAACACTGAGATCAAGGTGAAAAGCAGCCTGTATACATTGGCAAGACTGATATTAGCTCAAACAGCTTTGTAGCAGAACACAATTGTTCTCTGGTACCAGCAGCTGTTATCTTACTCTTTATTTAAATGCCAACAAGGAAAGGTAGCATAATCCCTTTCTTCCACACACTGATATGGAATAACTCCTGTACCCTGGAAAATAAAACTGGTAAATTGAAGGATGCTTTTTAATGTGACAGTGCACTGTAAGTATTATAAAGCCTCAGTGCCTGACTAATATGAAGACTGCCTCTAGAGGAGAGAAGTCCAAGTTCTTTACTGTAAGTATCAGACCTGTAATGGGGGAACAAAGGGTTTTCAGCTGCAGCATTAAAAGCAAGTGCTGGAATTGTACTTAAAACATCAAATACAGTAGTCAAAAACCACAAGTAACAGAGGTAAAATACTTCAAAATTAATAGATCTTAGCAAAGAACAGCCTACCATCTGTAGTACTGATTGACAGTAAGTTAAACACTGCTCTTACCATGGCTCTGAACTGCTTATTTCCCCTAAAAGCAATCGTGGAACATAGTTGCCCCTCCTACCACTTGCAGGAGACAGAGTAAATGGCTTGTCTATACAGTCACTGGCTTGGATGCAGGCTGCCGTGCTGCCTCCCCTGTTCTTTACCAGCAAACACCCTCTACCCACCCCTGACATGTAGGCACCAAAGAAAACATTCTAAACCCAGCCTATTGCAGGAGAAGACATGAGAGATTGTGGTGGTTCACCATGTCGCTTTGCACTGCTAATCCAGAGCTTAACTTCTTCAGTTGTGGTACAGCTAGAAAAACACAAGCTAAATTTGAGCTATCAAAAAAAGCCAATACAGACTTTCATAGCCCAGAGTGTTCCACAGTGCAGAGGGTTATGTGAGTCTTGCTGGAGGAGAACATACTGTCACTCACAGATGGCATGGCAGAGACAGTTCTAAGAATGAGATCTATGAAAAGCTACCGAACATTATTTTCAACTGCATCACTACTACATCTATACAGCAGTGGTTGCCAAGTTATTCTGGTGTATTTTTATCTTTCTGAGCAATATGACAAGACAACACTGGGACAGCTGGTTTTGGTAGCAGTTCTTGTTCCAGTTATGATGCCTAGTGTATTGAGATTATGTAGGCAGTTTCTTTATTTGAGTGCTTAGAAATTTGTCTCTGTCACTTTAAAGTGTTTTATGTACAGCTCAAAAAGTCCTACTTTCAAGCAGGAGGAAATAATCTATCACATACTTTTCACCTGAGTCTATCAAAAAGCCTGAGGCAGTTATGAGCAGCAAGAGCATATTTTCTGATCTCTGCTATTAACATCTACTTATTATACTGGGGGCCATATTACACACCATTTCAAAGAGAATACCCAACAAATTCTAAGACATAAGTGAAGAATGCAGCAGCACATCATTTGACAGCTGCTAATTTTAAGGACATTTCTTACAATGTAAACCCACAAGAGGTTTGCAATTCTTTGTTTTCCCAACATAAATGAACATCCACTACTCACTCTTTCTTTTGACGTTCCTATTACCACGCTGGACAGTCTGTTTTCAAACAGGTCTTCAGTCTTTAAATTGCCAGCAGCCCCAGGTAATGGAGGAAAGCTAGATAATCCCAATTCAAAGCTGGGAGATGGAGGTTTTGGGGGTGGTGGAGACTGTGTTTGGCCTCTCTGGAATAGAAATATCATGTTGGGGTTGGTGCACTAGATGACAGAAAAGATATGCAACTCTAAATTGTATTTTGCATTAGCAAACCCCTGGAAAAGGCTCCCCCATCTCATTTCCCACAGAGTACCAAGGAACAGATAAATGCTTTTATTTTCCACTGTTGTCCTTAAAGTATTTAATTATTATTTAAATGTCATGGTATATACATCAGCTTTAGGGATACCAGCATAGTAAGAAGTTTTCTCACTGAGAAAACTGTCTGGTCTCTTCCTTGAGGACAGACACACTGACACAAAGGAAAACAGACTGGTTTATGTATCATGATATGGTGAAAATATAATGCCCACTTATGTACAGTTAGTAACAACCTAAATAAAAAGACAGGAGTCAACAAGAATCTTATTTTCAGATTTATGAAGAAAGGGCAAGACAGCACGCCTTGTATGTAGCACAGACAATAACAATTTATATCTAATTAGTATTAATCTATATTGTCCCTGTGAAAAAATACAAAGGTAAATGCCAAAACTACTTTTGAAACAGAGGCTTTCAAACTAAATCTAAGAATAAAATCTATGTCTCAAGCAAAAAAAACCACCTATGTGCTAAATGCAGCTATTTTGCACTACAGAAAGCAGTTCAGGAGTTTAAAGTACCAATGATTAAGATCACTTGTGAGAACTGCTGGTAAGGATTTGTAAATTATATTTACACAGGAAAAGTAAAACTCCTTTGTAATATGCTGTAACTGAAGTTACCAATTAACTTCACCTACATCATGTAAACAAAGAAGTTTTTCTTCAAAGAACTGTTTCTTGACTTTGCTGAGATGGTCTCTGCTGCAAAATACCAAATACAAAGCAATCTTTGAAACAGTTCCTATTTTGAAAAGGTAAATACGAGTATATAGTCAAGATAGTGTGAATGTGAGAACAATGCTTCTGAACAAAAAGAACAGATGCAAGACTACCTTTGAGGCCTTTTCACAAACTACATGTAATGTGCAAAGAATTGTGTGTCAAGAGGGAAGTAGGGAAAGAAAAAATACAGAGACAAGAACAACTGCAACTCCCAGCACTGCTACTGACCCAGCATTACCCCCTGGAAGAATGCAATGGAGACTGCAAATCTCCAAAACTGAAGTCAGATGACCTGAGACTACACTTATCCAGCTCAAACTGCAAGAGGAACAACTCGAATTTTTAGAAGTCATTCTTCAAATCATAGCACTTGCTCTTCTTAAACGGGACTGAAGTTCTGCAACAGCAAATGCTTTTATGTTACATTTTAAGTTATACAGTTACATATTACTCTCAAAATACTAAGAGTGGCATTAACATCTTAAATTAGCAGGATGAGGAAGGACTTCAATGAATTTTAAGCTAACTGCATAAAATTTCACAAGTTAACTTCTTGTAGGTTCAGTACTTGGCTTATGTCTATAGCCTCAGAAACAATCTGATCAAAAAGTTTAATACTCTTTCATGCAAAAGTGCATACAACTCCATAATTTTTCCTTTAAAAAGAAAAATCTTAAGAATATACTGGTTTTAGTGGTGTCCTGTGTACACCATCTAATTGCTACACCATTACACAAGAAATAGAATACGGGATTCAATTAATTCCATAATCTAAAGAGGGAAAATTTTAATCTTTTGCTTCCAGGTACACTTCCTTGCAGTAGTGGGTGTGCAGCAGCTCTCACCTCCGCTGGACAGTGTCACTGGACACTACAGACTAAAGAGTCTTGGCCCAGAAGAGACTGGAAGGAACCTGGCTGCACAAGCTGCAATTACAGCCTGGTGCTGACAGAAGGGAATTGTGGTTCTCCAAAGAAATCACATCTACCAGCTTTTACATTCAAAGCTCAAATAATCTTTGCAGTCATCTCCATCAGAAGTGCTGCTCTGTTCAGAGAGGTGTCCAAGGTAATCCTTTTCACTCCAGTCACTCACACCTAACCTGCACATTTCCTTGTTCTTTTAAATACATTAAAAAGTTAGGAAAACTCTAAAAATTCAAGCAGCTCTGGAAAGGCAAAAGGAAGAAGCACTGGGAATCCTACATGCAATCTGGTCTCGCAGCCTCTGGGAAGTTTGATGAGAACTGAAAGCAATCAAAAGGAAGGAATCACTTGCTAAACTTTCCTGCTACTTTATCTAAGTTCACTCAGGCCACTCAACAGCAGGAGCCACAAACACATAAATGCAGTGATTCCAGATCTTTAGGAAAGTGTTATGGCTCATGCAATAGTGTTGCTTTATAATTGTAACATGAATAAGGAAATAACCTGGTTCAACTTCATGAATATGCCCTGTGTGCCAAAAATGAATTGCAAAGAAATGACTGTTTTTATCACATCAAATCTTAAATCCTACAAAAAGTGTTTTTTCTCTTCTACCCCTGGTGCAGCCTTTTCAAGTATCAAGTCTACTTTGGTATTAACCTTGAATTTCAGTATCCCAAAACTACAGTACTTTAATAGTGTTAGCATACCCTTACCAAGTGGCACTTGAAAAGGCATTTAAGAAAATGAACTGGCCACTTCATAATAAACATTTTATAACAAATATGTCTATACATTATGCCATAAGGAGCTATGAAATGTTCTTCACTGTCACCGTGATTGATAATGAAGTATCAAGTGTTTTGAACTTCAGTCGTTTAGCTATTCCTGAATGTGAACACTGGCATGTTGACAAAAATTGAGATGGAAAATTTTTGCTACTGTAAGAATAATTTTAACTTTTCCCTGACTTCTGCATTAATGGAAAGGCTTCTCTGATACCCAAATGCAGTAAACTCACATGACTAATGAGCTGTTGTCTTTAACCAGCTGTGATGTACAACTGCTTCTGCAGTAACTTATGTCACCTCCTACTCCACGTAATATCCACACTATTGCCTTGCTACCCTACTTTTATTAGAGACAAATAAGATCATGAACACTCACTGTAAACTTGTCCTCCCTTTTCTTTCGGTAGCCATATGAGTTTTTCCTATGGGAAAGAATACAGATATGAGAACCTTGCCTACAAATGGATGGAAAGCAGTTAACAAAAACAGGAGAAATTAATTCCAATTGCTATTTTGTCCATCTTCATTCTACACAGGTAATTAAGAAATGTTTTGGGAAAAATTCCTAGCAAGCTGTCATTAAAATAAAGGCATAGATCTTATGCAAGTCAGTGCAAGAATACACTGGTTACAAGTAATTCCTGTGTTAAAAGCATCTCAGTAGAGATTACATGTAAGGATTAGACAAAACATTACAGTATCTAAACAAGGGGGTTAGGAATTTTTGTATACCAATGCAACTTCTCAAATACAGCTAACTATTTTCAATCCAGGTAAGGCTCCTTCAAAACATTTTCAGCACTTTGCCGTCAGCCCTGCTTCAGGTAAAGCTCGTCCAAGCAGCACTGTAAAATTTGCAGAGCATTCTAATTCAGTTTCAATGTATTTTCTAAGTTTGTTTGACTTTTATTATTCTAAATGCATTCAATACTGAAATATCAATATATAAAGTATTGACTATTCCTGTACATTTTTGTAGTCTATAGTCTTAGCAATCTTGTTTCCCGAGTTCTTAATCATACTTTCATCCATTAGTTATAACACAATTTGGTAAATTAGATTTAGAAAAGTATTACAACCCTTGTACAAAATACCCATTTAATTTCACAATGATATAAGTCTAAAATAGGATCATCTGCAAAACACTTAAGTTATCTTCCAATTCAGTAAGTCACTCAGAATGTGATTTACTTGGAGTCATAAATACAGCCATTATCAAAGCTGCACAGTAATTTTATGAAGCACTTATTAGAACTGTATTTATAAATATACCAGTTGTCAGCTCCCCAGGTAGTTGGTTGTGGTTTTTGTTTGGTTGCTTTTAAAACAACACAATAGTTTCCTGTAGCAGTTTTTCCTCTCTCCATACCAATCCATCATCTTTGCTGTAATGTATGCCCAATTTGGTTAAAATTCTGATCCTTCAACTGAAAAAGTTAAGAATGAGCACTGCTAATGTACATTCAGGTGTACAATCTACAATGCTGAACAATGGAATTGGGCATAACTTCTTCAATTAAGTCAAACAAATAATACACAAAACCTTTCTTGCACCAAATGAATAAAGGATAGAGGATTAGATCTTACAGATCTCAATCGTTCATCAGTTGCCAACAATGATTTTCATCTGTTAGGAAAGCATGCAAGATTTTAGGTTTGAGGAGAGAATCTGAGTTTAAGGCAGTACTGAGAACAGTAACAATACCACACCTCCACTAAAGAGAGCAGTTTAGAAGCAGCAGTACTTGGCTGCTCAGAGGACAGCCACGGAGCACACGCACCTTCCTCTCCCTAGCCCAGGGGACGAGTCAACGCTGCTCTGTTCCATCCGTCCAGTTCCCACTTCCCTCTTGGTGTAACTGGTGGTGGCACTCTGCACCCGTGTCCTGCTTTGTCCCGGCTGCCGTGTCTGTGGACTCCTGACGCCATTGATTAAACGATCAGCAGAAAAGTTGAATATTGTAGGACTGTCTAGAAGCCCAGGTCCCCTTTCTGCACTGGGTATTGTATGTCGTATATGTGACTTGCTAGGATTCCTATAAATTCAAAAGTCATTTCAACATACGCGCACTATCAGAGATCTTCTGAGGCCTAAGCCTATTCACAGAATTCAGAAGAAGCAAGATCTTCATTCCTTTATCACTTATTTAATTTATAAGAATGATCAACATTCATTGTAACAGGTCATGTGAATTATCAAAATTAACCTTTTCAACTAGACCTTTACTATATGAATAACCCTGCTGATGACATGTCACCTTTTAGAATACTTCAGCTGAATACCCTAAATCACAGAACAGACAAGTTCTCAGCTTTCAGACTGTCCATTTACATTTTGAAACACTACATCCATTAACATCAGAAGCACCATCTGCCCTTTGGCCTCACCTTCGGCACCAGGTTCAGTTTCACAAGTATTCTCAAGTTAGCTGGTGTTACTAAAATAAGCAGATGAAAACCCCATGTGCCAGATAATACAACAGTATTGTTAAAAGATAGATGAACTTGCCTGTTCCTGGGAGGATATTGTCTGAGTGTTGTCAGTGGAGAAGCAGCAGGCTTGAAGGTTGGAGATGTGAATCCATTGATAAATCCAGTATTTGGAAATGGTGTTACCTAAAAAAATGTATTGCATGCTCATCATTATAAACAAACTGAGTATTACTTTTCTTAACCCCGTATTTTATGTCATTCTGTGCAGGACAGTACTCAAAAGATTGTCTCAAACAGCAACAGAACATCTGTCTAGTGCCTTGTATCTAACTTACAAAATTTCTGAAAAAACCCCAAGCTTCTGTTGTCCTGAGAAGTCAGCCACTAGACATATTCAACTTATGATAGTTCAAGAAGACTGAAAAACATCAAGCCAAAATTCTTGGCTGCAAGTTAAATAGTTTTCCTCCTATTTCACACCATACTACACATGACTTTGGAGTACTGAGACACTACTTTGTCAGAGACTCTAGTCTCCACAGTCTGTAATTGTTTCCTTGTAACTGTATGTGAATTCCTCCCTAAAAAAACCCCAACAACTTCTTTTTAGTTCCTCATTTTACTTCCATGTGACATCTAAATAAAGCTTAAGAGAGTAAGTACATGTTAAGTGGAACTCTGATGCTTTTCAGATCTTACCACCTTATTCTATAAGTGAAACAACATTAGCAAAACATTTTCTCGGGTGGGTGCATCAATGTCTTGTAGTAACAACAAGCCTCAAAACCCGAAGCATGTTCAAAGTAATTTCTCCAACCTCACTAGCACACTTTTGCTTTTTATTTAAATGTGTGAATTTCATTTAAGAAATGTTACTGTTAGCACCAGCAAATGCTTGCTTGTCTTCTCCCCTTGAAAATAACTACAGTGCAGAACAAGACTCTTTCTACATTCTATTAAATGATGAGAAACAGCTGGGATTAAGACTATTTGCTGTAAAGGTACATTTAAACTTGAAAAAGGCTTCTTGTGCAAGTTTTATCACTAATCAATGGAAAACAAAATTTAACACCAAAGCTGTCATATCAAACTACTGCTGGCCTAACCTAGCATGCACGACAGCAAAAGCTACCTCAGGCTTCACCAAAAGGCCATTAAAAAAGGCCTGTAACAAAGCTCCTTGAGGAACAAAGTTTCATCAAAATAATGCTTTGAAGTTAATGCTTTCTGGGTTAAGAGTTACAATATGAATGCTGCAAAATTCCATCAAAGCTAGTAAGCAACCACTGAACCTGAAAAATGAGAAGACACCGAACATTTAAGCGACCCTAACAATATTCAACTCTTCTTTCTTTATAATCATGTTATCCTTTTGGAGGGAAAAAAAAAATTCCCATTTTCCAGTAGTACCAAAAGCATCTCCACAGAAGTCAACTGGTTAAAACATACTTCTTTCTTTCAAATCTCTTTTTTTTCCCCGAACAGGAAAAACTAGATCTTTTCTCAAATACTATTGAGTACATGATGAAGAATGAGGTAGTTTTAGAATTCTGAGGACATGTGTTGCCATATTCAAGTTTCAGGTATGCCCACACTATTGGGATATTCAATCTCAAATTAGAGATGAGAGAAAGTAGGGTTTATGTTGAAGCAGAATAAGACACTTTGCTGTATTTTCACACAAGTCTCTACATGCAAACTGCAACCCTGTCTCATGAAAATAATTGCTGTGTCATGGTTCCTCATGGTCCCTGTTCTCCTCAAGTGATTTCTATTCAAATATAGCTCTTCCTACAAAAGAATCAAGAAACATCACGTTACAGTCATGTATATAAAATGCAGCTAACCAATGACAATACACTGCAAAACAGTGAAAAGCAAAGCGCAGACAGTTGATTTCCTGTTTTGACTAAGAAAAGTATGCCATCTTTAATGCTGGCAAACTCATGTCATCCCCAGAGGATAGGACTAGTAAGCTTTCTTGGATACAAAAAGTTACAGGATAACATCAGGTAGATACACAATATGCTGTGCTTGAACCTGTGGTTTATTAATATATGTCTTCTATACCGCTCCCATCCAGCCCCTTCAGTATCCCAGAGCAAGCCTGTGCAGTAGTCAGTCTTCGTTTATCTACAGGCAGATTCCCATCCATTGCTGTTTAAAAGGACAGCTTTCTCCTGGAATAACACTGCTCACTGTGTTACCTTGTCCCCTCCACATTCTTCATCCCCCCCCCAGAAAGCCTCCCCCTGCAAGGGCTCTGGTTCCCTTCACTGTGTGTGAAGTGTTTAGCATACCAACTTTTTAATTAGCTGTGGTTCTGTACAAAGGATGTTTGCTCAAGTTTGTTCAAGGACACTTTAATCCTCTGCCAAAAAAAACATCTAAAGAACTTCTAATTTTGAGCATTGCTCCCCTCATTTCTTTGAGCTGCAAGTAAAGAAGCATCACCAGAGGGGAGAAAGAGGCTCCGGATAGGAAACTTGAGCCTCCCAGTCATTACAAGAAACTGTCAGTGCATTTGAAGGGTAACAAAGGCAAACTAAAAGGGGCCATGGTAATTCCAATGAGACTGTCACAATACCAAAGATGGAAGCAGCATTGCAGGATACATTAGACGTCTCATTAGAGTATTTAAGGATTTATTGCTACAACCCTAGCTTCAGGCCTTACCAACAGCTCTTTTAAAAAAGTAATTCAAAAAGCAATTTAAAAGTGATTTTTGTAATTAGCAAAAGCAATTTTACTTTTCATCACCAAAAGAGACATTACTATTGCACAGAAAATGTTCTGCTTTAAGAATATGCCAAACAGGGCAATTCAGCATGTTAACCTACAACCTAAATTCCTGCTAGAAGATCAAGATAACTTGGTATCTTGACAAGTCTTTACTAAAGAACTGCCTCAAAACCTGAAAGGTTTAAGAAGAGAATCACACTCCAGTTTGAGATCAGACACAATTTTCAAATAATCTGTCTTATATACTGTTGCAAGGATTTTGAAGGACTGTTTTTCAAGAACAATTGGAATCTTAAACTCCCTTCTTCAGGATAGGTATGCTTCTTACACCCCAGTAAGAAAATAATCAGCTTTGAAAAGAATACAACTGTTTCAGAATCAAGAGACTTACCAACGAAGGGTCAAGGTAGCTGTGCGTGGCTGACCAGGTCTGTGGGCCAATTAAGCTGTAGAGTGGGAAGTGCTGCTGGGGGCTGTATACTGGAGGTATGTAAAAGGATGTTGTGTAGCGCTGCTGCGTGTAGAGGTTCATATCCAGAGGTCTATATCCATTCTTTGGCAAAAATGTGTTTATAGCTATTGCCTTTGCTTTTATCCTTGCCTGCAAAGGAGATTAGATTCTTTATTACAGCAGCCCTTCAAATTAAGTCAAAATGGTTCAAATTAGCAGCTCTCAAACTTTTACTGGACACTTATCAGTCACTGCTTTGTCCTTCATGGACAGCAGGAACAGCTGAATGCTTCCCTGCTACCTGATGCTGGGCTGGATATACCACTGCCAGAAATGACAAAAAGGAGAAGTGAAGTAGTATGTGCTACATTTCTAAACCCATCTCCAGGTCAAATGCTGAGATTGGACCACTTAAATTTATATTAGAAATCACAGTGAGCACCACAAAATCCATGAACATACACACACACCCACCATCCCCAACATCATAAACCCCTATTTACCTTAATTGGTTTTCCTTGGAAAGTCTTCACTTCCTCTCTAAGGTATCTGTAAGCCTTTAAAAAAAAGAAAATGGTTAGATTTATCAAATGTAATTTAAATAAAGGAAACTTAAAAGTTTTGACAGGCTAAGCCTAACAATAATTCTTGGAGCGTCTGCTAATGTTACAGTATAGCAAACTCTCATACATCATCTGCATTTAGCAACATTTAACTTATCATTAAGTGCTTCAGTAGCATTAAAACAAGACTCTAACGGTTATGATTGAAGCATTTCAATTTGTCACCCAAAATATCAACACTCTCAGTACAAAAAAATCATAGCTTTAGTCAGGAAACCAGGATATGTGAACAAGATTAAAAAAAACCTTTTAAGTGTTATGTTTAATAGTTACTGAAAATTGGATACTACCTAAGGGGAAGCATTACTGTTTTTACAGTTTGGGGTATTTTTCTTTTTAAGTTGTTATACATTTGCAATAGAGTTTACAACCTGTCAATTCACCCTCCTATCATTCTTATTTATTTTTACATTCTAATATGCTTCAAAAAACAGCGTTACCTGCTGTGCATCAGCTTCCGATTCAAATGTGATGAACCAATTGTCATTATAGGCAAACTCACAGTTGATGAACTTAGGCAAATTGTCTCCTTTGAAAAGTGCTTCAACCTCCTGGGGAAAGGTGGGGGAGGTGAGAGGAGAAGGAAGGAGAGAAGAAAACATCAATGTAAAATGCAAAACTCTGACACTCCGAGAAAGAAAGACAGAAAGCACTGTTGGGCTTACAAAACAATGGAGTAGTTCAGAACACCTGCAGTAGTGTCAGCTCTCTCTGATCTCCCCCCACTGGAAGGAATTCAAACCAGAACTGTCTAAGGCCATACTGCAAGAGAGGTTTAGCTGGGAGCTATTTAGGCCACAGAAGACACTTAAGCTTGTCATCAAGTGCAGAAAGATGTCTATTTCTCCCCTGTCCCCAAAACCATGGAGCCACATGAAATCCCATGCATATGGCACAGGACAGGAAAGTACTGCCTTTCCATCAGAAACCTGCAGGTAAGCTTTAACTCAAATGTCTACAGATTCATGTATTTGAAACAAGGCTTATGTTACCTCAAACATAACTGGGTAGTTTCTCCAGAAAAAAACAAACCCTAGATTTTTAAATTTGTTTTAATTCATTTGCATATTGTTTTGTTTTGTCACAGATTTCAGGTGAGCAGCATTAAAAGGCAACACAACTTGAGAGGCCTTACAGCATCTTGGAATTTTGCTGCTTAAATAAAGCCTGACTCTGCTGTGCCAGAAAACATAGGCTATTAAATCTGGTTAGTTAAGTTAGATTTTTCCAGCCTGACAAATTTAAACACAATGTATAAAGCATTTCACTGGAGAGAAACTCTTCTGAAAATAAAGACTCATCAGAACAGCGCTGTTGTCAAACATTAAGAGTGAACATCCAGCGCTAATATATCCAACCTGACGAACTGATGAGAGAAAGAAGATGTATGTAAAAAAAAAATCTACAATACTAAAAGTTAGGCAGTATTTGAAAGGCCACATTTCATTTGGAAAGTTAGAAGTAGCCACTATCTTTAAGCTATGTGGATAGCATATATCCAACTTCTTCCCTCCAATTCCTTTTAACATTTTTTTTCATGTTCCTGTTTATTAAGGCCACTTACTTCTTTGTTATCAGTTTCTAAACTGCAGTACTTCTGATTTTTGTATGATGGTTATTGAGAGAAGCAACTCTTGCAGAATCTTTAGTCTTCCTTGTGAAATTAAATAGAAGAGAAACTACAATATATACCCATCATCAAGAATCTGCACTTTATCCTCCTTTTTGAAAATTCAAGATTTTTTAATTGTGACTTCATAATTTTTTCTAATATTTCCATTAGTCATAGCCCCTGCTTCAACAGAGTGGCATTGAGTATCTTTCAAAAAATGAAGTTCTCCAGTCTTGCACTCATTCCACAAGCCAGTGGAGATCCTTAGTGACTTATTGACGCCTCTCACCTCAGCATTATGGAAACATTTACAAAGCTTTAACTACTTTACTTGAACAAGCTTCAAGGTGCAACAGTGGTATTTTCTAGTCGAAGACTTATCTTCTTTCATCTTTGTCTATTTATCCAAGGATCTGAGCACCAAGTGCATATAGGTAAGACAAAGTCCAAGAAAATGATTTATCAAAAGACAAAGACAGCACTATCAGTGTCCCAGCCCTCTGCAGAACTACAGGTTCTACCAGTCTTCCTATGAGCAACATGCTTCTATCAAAAATATTTCTTATCCAAACAAACACAATAAACTAAGTTTAAGTAGTGCTGTTAGAAACTAAGTGTAGTAAAAAATGTGAATTGCTTATTGAAATCTAGAAGACATCTAACTTCCAAGTCCTACGGGCAAAGTGTTCTTTACTGAACAAGGGAACACTTACTTCAATGGGAGTAGATTCAGGTACTTCACGTAAAATCACAATACAGCGATTCTGATTTGGCCGAACTTTTTCCCCCTTTTCATCCACCTGAACTAAAGGCAACGCTAGGAGAGAAAAGACAAGAATGCATTTTAGCTGTCAGCAAACCTAGCAGCTTAGCACTCCGAAAGATGCTGTGAACACAGACTTACAATGTAGAGACTCAAATATTTTTGAACATTAACAGACAATGTTTCTGCTCATAATTTACATGCCTGAAGAGCCCTTTCTAGTTTTTCACAAAACTTGTAGCTCTGGCCAAATTCAATCTGAGCTGAACTTTTCCATTTATAACTGCATTTCTACACACACCGGCAATGCCCTTGTAGCTCTCACCAGGTATTCATCTACTTTCCCATCTCTGGTATGTCTCTCTCTTGTTTTGAGCTGACTCAGAAGCACAGAGTTAAGCCAAGGGGGTCTCTTGATCCACCAACTTCCCTTACCTTTACAGGGGATTAAATATTTTCGTGCTTCCAGGAGAGAACTCCCAGCACTAGTATAGTTAAGTGCCTTTATCCTCCATGGAAACTTCCCACAGAATCCCTCCCAGCAGTGCTCTGAGCAAGCTGAAGTTTGTTCTTGCAAAATCTAAAACCTTAGAAATGCTCAGTGTGCTCAGCACGACCCCAAACGCCACAGTTCTGTGATTGCTGCAGCCAAGGCTTGCACTGGCTGAGACATTACAAAGCAGGTTTTCTTAGTTTCTGAGTAGTGAGTCCAGCAGTGCCTCATTCCTGGTCGGCACATCTAACACTTATATGGGGAAACAGCCCTCTGCACATTCCAGAAACTTGATGGATGACACGAGCTGCTGTATTGTTCTTCCAACAAATATCCAAACCATTGAAATCAACTGTAAGAACTAGGTTTGGCTGACCCAAAGCTCGCTTAAATGACACAAATATTGCTCTGTTGGCCTTATTGTCTTGGTTTAGGTCAGGAGCAGATGCAAAGTGTAAGATTCCCCCTTGGAAACAACTCCCAGGGTCTTGGCCCACAGGTACCCATAGAGCTTCCATGACTGATGCAGTTGATTTCTATACATTCAAGGTTCTCCTTAACAGAGTAAGACTCTTCCATCCTTTTTTCCCCATGTCTTTACAGAACAGTCTAGAGATATTCAACATGATCCTCCAGTCATGTGAGTTGTCCCACTACACCTTACAACTTAAAATTGTCATTTCCTATTTGCACAGATCTTTAATCAATAGCTGGAATACAGAGTAGCTGTGATAAAACTACAGTCCCATAACTGTGATGGTCTAAGATGCTTGGGCTACTTAATGCCATACAGAAAAATAATGGCATTTTACTGCAATACAATATGAAAGAAGAGATGAAAAATTCAGATTAATAGTTCTACACCAATAACCAAAATGCTTTCTAGCAATGAGGAACTTTTACTTACATCTCAGCACTTCAACAATCAAATCCATATCAGTACTGAGTTTCTTGACATGATCAAGGTTTGCTACTGTCATTATTGGCACATACTGATCACTGTCCATCTGTGATATAAGGTACATGTCACTGGCAAGATTTTCTCTGTTGGGAGAAAAAAATAAAAATAGGGAAATGTCACAGATTAACTTTTTCCAATAAACTTGAGACAAAAATTCATCACATGGTAGAAGGCAGATTCCTTCAGCATTTTTACTAATTAATGAAAATCACTGGCTTAAACAAAGCTTGCTAAATGGCTTTAAATTACTCAGTTTTAATTATGTCCAGTAAAAATCACAAAAATTCACCTGATCTGTAACTGCTTTTAACTACTCTCATTTCAAACCCATATATTTGCTAGTTCATGCATTAGGCACAGAGGTTTCAGATAAGCTTTAAGAGGCACATCAACACAACACCCTGAAATCTGTGGGTTACTTTTTCCAAATTCTCATCCTTTCCACTCAGTTTTAAGTAACAACTAAGGAATATATTAACCTACATCCCAAGTTGTTAGTCATCCTCCAGTTTGGTACATGTAGGTAAATACATACCTAGATAAACAGAATTCCAGTGTCTTTTTCAGTAATTCTCGTAAATCTTCCTGACCTTCTGGCTGCAACTGTTCGTTTCCACCTAATAATTAAAATATTTCAGATTAAAAAGTAGCTTTGTTATATTACACAATACCTATTTTAAACAAGCCATCATATCTATTAATGACTACATATCTAGTAAAATATTTTCAAATTCAATAGATGTTCATCGTGTATTAGTTACTAATCGACGAAATTGCACAGCAACATTTTTTATTTAAGACAGAAAAGAGAAACCATGTCTGACATTACTTGTTAACCTCTGTTCCCCAAATACATAAAAATCTGAAGCCCTTTTAGAAGAACAGTTACATGCACATCTCGAAGTAAATACTGAAGTGATCTGGCTTGTATAGATCTGTGCTCCATTCTCAGGAAAGTAACCAGTTTCTAGATGACAAAACCCTGACTAATTGGAACAATGCAATAGAGGCGCTCCACACTTCTGGTATCATTCTAAATTACCAACACATTAATTCAGAGGAGGTTTTCAAAAATCTAGTTATGAAATATCAGCAGATATCCAATCTACTAATAACAGATATATAATCAATTTACAATATTTTGGTTAAGAAGGCAAAATTAATTTCTTAATCATAAGTGGAAGTTGAAAAATTATCACATGGACAACACGAATTTCATGTTTCTTTCAGTTTAGACACAATATACCAGTGTAACATTTAGTAGCACATTCTTCATGTAAATATATATGTATGTAAATGTAAATTAGTTTTCTAGAAGTATTTCAGACCAACTATTGTCCTCTATATCCTTCCCTTCACTAACTTTCATCCTTTTATTCAGCTCTCCTTAGCCTTTCTTCTTCCTAGACGTCTAATTTTCTTGCATCATGCTGTCCTTCACGAGTTCTACTCTGACGAAGAGAACACCAACACCTGAGCAATACATGTATCATGTTCTAACCCTATTTCCTTTCCCTGTCTCCTCTTTCTTGTCCAAAACCTGGCAAGGACCAAAATTATATGCATTTAAAAAATAATTATTAAGAAATTAAAAATCAGATTTCAGACTTGGGATCATGTGCCACACTATTCATCAAAAGGAACAGACCTGACCGGCTGTTCAGCTCTTTATAACACTATCAGACTCTTGTTAAAAGTTAACTATTTTGGACACACAAAGGATACACTGGTAAGTTCCAGCACTACTCTGAAGAATGCTGTTCCCTTCTAGAGTGTGAGGCACCATTAATACAATCTGTTGTTTGTCAGCTAGTTATTATTTAATATTCCCCAACAGTATCCTTAAGGAAAAGGGTACTTGCTTTTAAATATAAGCAAAGATGATGCCACAACAATGTCTGATTTCAGCTGCCTTGATTTCCAGCTATTATGGATGCTACTGGTAATTTTAAATACAAAATCAGCTAAGCACAATGAACAGACCTGTTGTGAATCTCAAGAAACACCCATCACATTTTCCTCTCCTTCCCATCCCTCATCTCAGTTCAAGTAGTTATCCTACACGCATCTTGCAGACCTTCTGTCCCATTCAATGAAATATAAGCTTGATGAATCTCTATGCTAGTTTCCAGAAGCTTCTTAAAACTTACCATCTGGTATAGACTACAGCTACTAATAGTTGCACTGAAGAGAAATCCTGGAAGTTCATTAAATAAGAATGTGAAGAAGTTAAGACTAAAATGTTGCTTATTTCAGCATTTTGAGTACAAAATGAGTCTTTCCCCAAATTATCATTACTACTTGAGATACAAACTGTATGTGCATCTCAACTCAGTACCTGACCCAACTATAAACACACATTTGTTTGATTCTGTGCAGCAGCTTGTAAGATTTAAACCAGGAGGAGACTGGTCTTGAAACATGTCCAAGTTTGACTGCAAAAGAGGCAGGAATTCCTAGGGTCTGTTTAAAGACTGCATATATTGAACGAGAAAATGGGAATAGTCCAGGGGACTTTTTTTTGTTTTTCAGATGCTCACTGTTCAACTCAAAATAAATGTTCAGTTTGTTTCTAAGTCCAAGCTCATCTTAGCTTTCTCTTACCTGTCTGGGTGGTTTCATGCATAGACTCATACTCGGAATGATCGAGAGTCAAAGGGTTCATATCCGTGTGCTCTGAGCCGGGAACAGCTGGGGACGGCTCCGGCAGCTCTGTCAGCACCGCATTCTGATGCTTTTTGTCACCATCGCCATTGGCATCCAGTCCTGCAGCACACATCACAAACACACTCCAGGAGTGCTCTTTCTAATCACAGTAACGCCATACTTAAAACTATATCTGAAATAAAGGTGCTTACATACTTGCTTTCAACTTTTTTAACAGAAAATTAAAATTGAGACAGTGCTGCACCAAATTTTACCTTCTGCTTGAGCAACAGCCAGAAACTCTTATTCATACCTTCTTTACAAGAATCTGGAGGCTGGTCAGGTATTTCTTCCCACGTTTTGCTCACACTACCATCAGTGGCACCACTTGCTTCCAAGTGTAACATATGATTTCCCCACACCTTTGCATTGGGGTTTAACTCGGAAACCTTGGTTGACTCCTGAAAAAGTAAATTGATTATGCATTTTGGGGATGCACAGCAGGCATCTGGTGCACAGACACAATCAGTTTCAAATAACAGTATCAGACTGTCTGTTTTTACTGTCATGCAGATTTTACTGTCATAAGATTTTACTGTCATGTTTTTTCACACCTGAATATATTAACTGATTTTCCACAGTCATTTCAGGTACAAACACAACTGAATTGAGGTACACAGTATTCATTTCTTGATTAAGAACCACCCGAAAAGGCTATCCAAGCAAAGCAAATGACAACAAACATTTCATTCTTTGCCTTTGACAGACTAACTTAGCCTGTTCTTGGCCTAGACTTCAGGCAGTTCTAGTTCTCTAATGTACATGTCTACTTGATGTTGATTATATTTCTATTGTATCTGTTCCTGCAAAATAATATCAAAAACCCCATAAAACAAAACAAAACAAAAAAAAACCAAACCAAACCAAAAAAATCAAGAAAATACAAAAGTACAGGGATTCTTCTGAAATTATATAAACATATAAGTTTTAATGAAACATTATGGAAAATTGAAAGCAATAAGATGTGCATGACAACTTCAGTTATTACTTCTAAAGGAGGAACAGAGCATTAGGACAGCAAGGACAACTAACCAGATCCAGTTAAATAATCTCAAAATAATCTTATTTAAACTGGATTGGAAATGGACACATTTAATGATTACATATGGTTATATACAACCATCACACAAACGGCTACATCTGTGTTTCAGAGATTGTTCTCCACAGTGTAAACATCTACTATAATACTTTTTAGGGTAACATGAGACTTGTTTTGCTAATGTTTGAGCAAAATGCATTGAATTATTCCCTACCAAGAATATATTTCAAGTGTTTTAATGTAATTACACTGGGAAAGAACATTGCTCATGATAAGACACACTAAAAAAGCTTATTAAAAATTTTCTTTCTGAATTTACAGATGCTAGGAACATTACAGTGTTTAAAGACAGGCACTCCAAAACCCCACGAAGCTTTAAATCTTCTTAAACACATGCATTCAAATACTTATTATCACAGTGCATAGAAAATATATCCAGAAAATAGAAAAAGTCTTTTAAAATTTCACTTGAATGACAGAGAAGACTTACAAAAAGTAAAAGTGTTTGACATAACTACTTGCATAGAAAGGATTCAAAGATGACAGCAAGATCCATCAGTTTCCATTTTTAATATAAGAAGTCCCCCCAGGAGACAGCAAACAGCTTGAGTACAATCCACTGCCCACACTGCAAGTGCTGGGCAAGGTCAGAGCAGCTGTTCCAACACAGCCGGGGAGGGGAACAATTTCAGGGAAGCTCAGCAGGGAAGGAAAAGGATCAGCAGCTGCTACAGGTTAACTTCTGCAGAGTGGGTAAGGCTGGAAGGGACCACTGGAGATCATCCAGTCTGACCTCCCCACCTGTGCAGGGTGCAGAGAGCACCTCAGGAAACAGTTTTGTTTGTTTCTTAGCCCAGCTAGCCAAGATCCAGCCTAGCTCTTTCCTCTCACTTCTCCTGCAGCCACTCCTCTCTACAGCACTACTCACCTCCAGAAGTGAGCAAAAGATTTCCTAATTGCTACCAAACAAGAACTTCAGGAAATCCACAAACATTTCTTCCTATATGAAGTTAAAGAGCACTAGGAACAGTTTGTAGCAAGCTTCCTTTCTGCACACTGTTTATCTTAAGCTGGAACTGAGAATCTGCAATCAAGTTACTTCACCAATGATTGAACTTTCACACAAAGTAAACAGAACAAAAAAAAAACCAAACCAATATTCAGCAAAATTTTTGACTTCTGCATTCTGTACAGCATTTGGTTTTCCAAAGGAAAGGGAGTCATCAGGTTCAGGACAAAATAACATCTATTTAACTAATGAAACCACAGTTTGACTTGGCTTGGTCAAACTTCCAGCTTCAGCTTCAAGCTTTAAGAGCAAATCACTTCTGCAGAATACTTACAAGTTCATCTTTATTGTGCCATCCCCACGTACCAGCATATTCTGGTGCTAGCAGCTGATATGGGTATGTTTCCACTGCATATGAAGCACTTGTTAAATTTTCAGGCTCATTCTGGAAGTTTTCGTTAACTATACATAGTGTGTCATTCTTCATGGTATCATTAGAAGCTGCATTATTCCATAAAAAGCCCACTAGATATTCACCATTACCAGAAGGAACTGCATCAGAAAGCAGCTGATTTGTTCCATCAGCACTGCCAGTCTGCAGATTAATGAAACGTGACCACATTTCGACATGGGGATTTTGTCTGTCCACATCATAGGAGTGCTTCTGGTCACTTGATCCATCTTCCATCAGACCTAACACGCACTGCTCTCTGCCTTGCTGAAACCCTGCTGCACCAGGAGAGGCACTGGGTATTTCATAGGAAGGAGTAGCAGCATATTTGTCTACCTGCTTTGGGTCAACACAAACTCCAAGCTCTTTGTTTGAGAAAATCTTGTGATCTGGCTGCATCTGTTCCCAGCTTGTGGTCAAGTCATTCATCTGAGTATTTAATATGTAACTGGTGTTTTTCAGTTCAGTAGTCTTGGCTTGCAGCTGCTTCAAATTCCCCCTGGTAAAAGGTTCTAGATTCTCAGCTGATAAACCAAAACCAGAGAGGTTCTCCTTTGTGTGGATGCTGACACACTGGTTTACTTCACTATCCTGAAGATTACATTCATTTATACCACACATGCTTTTTTCATGAGTTTCTGATCTTTCTTCAGTAAAAGGCCCAACAGAAACTCGAGTGTTTCCAACTTCTGACTCTGGACTCGCACAGTGACACAACTCAGGCTCTTCTGCTGGTTTGTGATGCTCATGAGAACATGCATTTTGACACAATAAAGGCAAAAAGTTATGGTCTTTATTTAAGGGTTTATTGGCATCTTCCAGATTATTAGTGGCATCTTTTAATTTTACACTCCTGTACATACAACTGTCCATGGCTGCAGGTATAGTGGAGTCAGAGGGAGCATTCTGACTGTCAGCCAAGCCTTTACTGCAATTGAAGATGCTTTTATCACAATCAACAATGTTAGCATCCAGATTCCGTTTTACATTTTCTGCCTTGTTATCAATAGACTCATTTAGTTGGCCTTCAAATTTTGTCTGTTCTACAGATTCTACTACACGCCCAGCTATTTTGGTTGACTCAGTCTCTGCACTCCATTGATTTTCCACTGTGTGGAAGGAACATACCTCCTGTTGTTCATCTTGTCTGCTGTTCATGTCTATTTTATTCATATGCTCACATTCCACAGACACAGAAGAGACACTGGTTTTATCATTTGAATTTGAATATTTGCATAATTTACTTTTATTCTCTAGTGACTCTTGTGAAACCTGACACTCTAGGCTGTTTTCCTTTGGGAACATTTCATCTGTGCTTGGATTATGTGCATGAGATGTCACAGTGACATCATTTACTCCTGATGTAGTTCTGCTCAAGTTACCTGCTTCCTCAAGCAAGTCACGTTTTAGTTCAGTGGCACTCGCACAGGTATCTTCCTCCACACCACTGTGGACTGCAGCTTCAGATGATACCCTTTTTTCAGTGCAGCCCTTAATGCGAGTTTGAAAATCAGAACCTTCCATCAGGTTTAGCTGTGTTTCAGGCATGTTCAAAGCTTCACAGCTATGCAAAACTGTACCTGTGCATTCCTCTCCCTCTTTCAAGGATTCTTCAAAACTGCTGTGATGTTCACTAGAGTCTGGTGAAAATGTTTGGCTATCACCATATGTTCTTTCAAGTGTTTTCTTTTCCACATTTGAGTCTACCTTACTTTCTGGCTCTAGAAAGCAGACTTGTTCATCAAGTTTTTCTACATTGTCCATTTCATGGAACTCTAATGATGGTTTTAAGTTACCCCCCATGTCGTCTACCATCTGGTTAGTATTTATTTGCTCTGTAGCACTTAAAGGATGCCTAGCTAAAGGCATCAGTGATACAACAGCAGAATGATTACTTCCCTCAGTTTTTCCTGAATTAGATACTCCAGTATTTAACAATACACTGGAAATATGATCCCTGTTTTTCACCTTTTCTGTGTTAGGGCTGTATTGGTCCTCTCCAGCAGCATCCACATGTTTTATGGAATCACAAGCTGTATGCAGCGGTTCATTCCAACTGGCAGCACTACCCATGGTATATACCTCCTCTTGCTGATTCTCAGGGATGATTTCATCAGGCACTTTTGCTCTTAAGACATCTGTTACTGTACTGTCAGTATTTAGCCTATGCACCTGACAGCTGTCAGTCATTAAGTTATCAAAAGAACACTGGATGTCTAGGCTACAATATTCCTTTGTATCTTTTTTCTCCATGTTTGATCTAGTCTCTTTTCTATACTTAAACAGTTCTTTTTGTGAATTAAACTTAGCTTCCCCTTGTGCCAATTGCTGCATTGGAAACGCCTTCCCTCTGTCTAGAGGTCGTGCCATGGTGCACATTCCTTCATCAGTAACAGCTGAGTTATCTATGTCTGCTGCAGTCTCTTTATGCACAGTAGCTGGCACCTCTTCATCCCCTTTCAGATCTTCGGCATCTACAACACAAATGCTATAAAACTCCTTGTCTTTCACATTTTGACTGTTGTCTACATCAAGACAGGAAAATGTTGGAGACATCTCTGTACATGAACTCCAAACTTTCTGTAAGCTGTCACTCCTGCTGTCTTCAACATTTACTGTTGTTTCATTTTGCCTTGAATGGTCACATGAAACTGTATAATCCTCCAGAGAATTTCTATTTAAGGAAATTTCACTCTGTAAGCCTTTGTCTATGATATCTGGTACACGTGAATTAGAAATACGATCAAACAAGCAATGCTCTTGTGCAGCTACATTTCCATTATTAATATTGCTATAATTACTTTCTATATTGTTCACACACTGACCATTACTATTAGGTTTTTTAGGTGCTCTTTTTTTAATAATCTTATCTTTCTTTTCTTCACTTCTCTGCAGATTTCCG